GGGGTGCGTCGGCCAAAAGAATGGTGAGGTGTGGCACAGTGGCCGCACAAAGCATACACTATCCATGAATTATTGCGTGCCTCCAATTGAAATAATCAGAGTTAATAATTCAATCCAAACTTAATAAAACTATTTAAATAAACACAAAAAAATAAAGATAATTTAATAAAATTATATATTTTAATATTCAAGCTGAGTCAACTAAAATATGCTTGAAAAAACTTGAACTAAACCTAATCAAGTATGATTTTAACCTAAATATCCAAATATAACAACAAAAACAAGCCTTATCTCATTAGGTGGAATTGAGTATATAGATTATATGATATCATCATACTCTATTGTTTATTAAGTTTTTAAAAATATTGTTAATTAAAAAGTCTCGCTCAACAACCTTTAAAGGTGTTTTCTTTGATTTTCCTCTACCTTTTTAACAGGGCTCAAAATCATATATTTCACTCTCTTCATTGATGCTTCTAGTCGTTTTCTTTGTATATGTTTGAATCACTTCAAATAATTTTCTACCATTTCTTCTTCAATAGGTGCCACACTCACTTTTTCTATATTCGCTCGTTTCAAATTTTATCTTTACATGTATATTCACACATTCATCTCAACATTTTCATCTTTATTACTCCAACTTCATGCTCTTGCTGTCTTGTCAAAGCCCAACATTCATTATCATGTAAAACTACTGATTTTATAGCAGTTCAATAAAACTTTCCTTTAAGTTTATTGGGTGCCTCACGATTGTATATAACTCCTTTATTTTTTTTCTAATTAAATCACCTTACTTGTATCCTATATGCAATATCTCCATCAATTTTTTCATTTTATTAAATGATCACTTCTAAATATCTAAACGCGTTTACTTGAGGTGTAGTCTGATCATCCAATTTTACTTTCAAGTTACTATTCATTGACTCTTTATCAAAACTACAATGCAAATATTTTATTTTACTCCTACTTGGACAGAAAATTTTTAACTCTAATGTCTTCCTCCATAATTCAAGTTTATAATTTATCTCTTCTCTTATTTCTGCAATAAGAACTATATCATCTGCAAAAAGCATGCATTTAGGAACTTCATCTTGATATGTTCAGTCAAAATATCTAAGACTAGATCAAATAAATAAAGACTCCAAAATGATCCTTGATGCAATTCAATTTTTATAGAAGAATCTTTTGTTTCACTACCAAACATTTTTATACCAGTTATTGCCCTTTCATATATGTCTTATATAGCTCAAATATAAGTAATCCGGACACCTTTCTTTTTCAATGCCTTCCAAAGTACTTCTCTCAATACATGACCAAAATTTTTTTACATATAAATGAAAATCATATATAAATATTTACTTTTATATCGATACTTTCCATTAATTTTATTTTAAAAAATAATATATATTAAAAATATATAATATATTTTAAATATTATTTATTTTTTTAAAATTGTAAGTGATTTTATTCTAAAATTCCATCTATTTGAGTATATCATTATAAATATTTAAAAAAATTAAATTATTTATATTATTATATGTTTATTGTTTTTAATATATAAAATATCTTAAAATGATATTTGAAATGGATTTTAATATTGATTTTTAAATTTTAAGATCCATGTGTTTTTTTTTAAGTCTGAGTCTTCTACATTGTTTAAATATTTCAAAAATTATATTTTATAAAATAAAAAATAAGCAATTTTAAAGCAAAAAATTAAATTAGAATTAATTTTAAAAATAAAAAATAAATGATTCAGGTATTCGAGTTGGCCCGAAATTTGAAAAGATTTGAGTTAGGTTTAACCATTCAGGCTATTTAAAAAGTTTGAATTGATTCAAACTTGAATAAATTCAGCTCGTATGAATTACCAGCTCTTTGGATAATACCAACAAGCCGCAAGTGCGTATCATTCCATGCTTTGAGTCATCAAAAATAAAATAGGGGCTCAAAGTTTAGGGCATAAATTTTAAAGTCAAGTATTTTTTTTTTTTGGTTTTGGATTGAGTTTTAGAAGCGAAGAGAATTATTTGCAAATGAGATAAGTTTTGTACTAAGTTTGCACAATTCAACGAATTTTGTATAAATTATATTTTCAAAATGTTAATTGAATTTTTGTCCCGTGCAATGCATAGTCACTTATCATCGCATGGAAAGATCTAATATAATTTAATTTTTCATACCATATACTCCATTCATTCCAAAATATAAGTTATTTTTTAAGAAGTTGAAAGTTTAAAAATTTAAAGTATTTTTATTTTTTCGAGGTGTAATTATTATCTTTTTTTTTAAGTGCCTTATTGATAATTACTTTATATTTATTAAAAAATGTTTAATGGATGTAAATGTAAAAATATATGGTTAATTAAAAAGTGAGTAACTACTTTATTGGAGGTGAGATTTGATTAAAAATACCTTACATTTTTAAATGGAGAAAGTATATGATTATTAAATTTTAAGATGGAGAGTTTTCTATTCTTATTCTACATTTACTTTTTTAGTCGTATTAATTTAGTATGTGTATATATATTTTTTAGATTAAATTAATTTATATGTAATAGAAAAATTGTTAATGGGGTTCATAAATATTTAATAAAATAAATTTACAATTAACATCATTGTTTAGAAGTTATATTTTTACTTGGAAAGTTTTATTTTTTTTAAATGATATTTTAATGCGTATTGCCAAAAAGTTTTGAACTTTTATTTAGGTTATTGATCCTATGAATGGTTTTAATGGTTCCTTATTTTAAAGTGATAATTAACAATAGATGATGTATGTTTGAAACTTGAAACTAAACTTAATATGAATTCATGTGTGAAAAGAGTTCATTTACAAAAGATTAGATAAAACAAAGTAGTGGCATGCATCCATTTGGAGCTAATAACTAATAAGTGGAATTTAGCAGGTTTAAGGTGAAAATTAGCATTCATTCAATTGTTGCAGATACATTTGATTAGAATTAAGATAAGAATTATTATATACTAGCTATTAGTGTGAATTACCTAGGAAGAAAGCAATATGTAAAGAAACTAACAATTTAATTTCATCCTAAGCTTGCAAATAAGTTACCAACACTTGATTCCATTCTAAAATTAAACTTTAAATGCTTCAATCTTGAATCAAAGCAGGAGTGAAAAAAAAATTAGTGAGTCTCAAAGATTGATTATTATGATTAAACTTCAAGTGTGACTGCCAAACACCTGCAATCATGGCGAGTTCAAAATTATTGGTGATGCACATATATAGATCAAAGCAGTGATTTGCTTAGATATTGAAGGCACATGGTAATGGCAATCTAATGTATTCCTATTTCACTACTTGTTCCATACGCATAATGTCACTCGTAATAGAAGTAAACTTTGCCGCAACAAACATTTTGAAGATCCGGCCAATTCCATCATAAGATCCCTCTGGACAAATAGTCATGTAATAACTACACAAGAAATTGTTAATATAATTTTTTTAATAGTGAGCAATATCACAATCAATAAATCATAATTAATACAAAGAGTTTATATCAACATAACAAACCCCAGCATCAAATAACATCACGTATTTTCATCACATGCTTCAATGCCATGGGAAAAAAAATGACAACATGGAAGCCTTAAAAGATGAGAGATTAACTACCCCAAAATTTATGAACAGTAAACTGTATATAAGGCTTTAAGCATACTTATTTGCACACAAAAAGACTATGCACTCAATATGTAAATTCGTCCCATCTAGTATGAACCTACATGAAATTTAAATGATATACAAGCCAAGAGACACAGGCATATATGTAAGAAACAATACCAAAAAGGAAAATGAGTGCCAAACGATAGGCGCGCGCGCGCACATATTTGCAGGCTATTTTATACAATTTCAATTTCAATAATAATACTTGTTAAGCATTAAGAGGAAAATAGTGCAAAGACTGGTTCAAGAACAGTGGGAGAGAGGCATTTGATGTTCAATTCATACAGAAAGAGGAACATGAAACACTTGTAAATACTAAGTTTTTAAAACTATCTAAAAATCCTGAATTTTGCATTTTAATTTTGATTAAAGTAACAATTTGTTACCTAAGTCCTAATCATTGGATCGATTCAGCTTTAATATTAAAAAATAGTGAATAGAAAAATTAATTACTACCCTTAACCCCAACCATTTTTTTCCCCCAGTCATACAGATATCCATCAGCATTTTGCATGCCAGCTATTGCTACGATTGCATAGATCATCATCATACAAGAAGCAACGCGCTGCGGAATCCCTGAAGACATGAGGCGATGCTTTCAAATGGCCACGAATCAACAATCTCAGACTTTTAAGCTTCGATGACAGGCTCAAACAAATCTCCACCATTCGATTGAAATCAAACTCGAAGCACCATCCGTTAGATGCTTCACGCGCCAAAAAGTCAGAATTGGCTGACGTGGTCATCGCCGTCTTTCCCTTGCATTGCCCAGTTGTAAAATTAGCCTAGCACGAGGCGCGATCAACGCGGCGAAGCAATCCCCAACCCTCAACCCCCCCGGGGTAAATAACTAAAACTTGAGGGTCATTTTCCAATGTCTATTAACATAGAAGTTAGAACCACGACGTAATTTAGGCAGTTTCCTGGGACATTCATTATGACGTCGTTTTTGAAAACTGCTACCGCCAATTTACGCTTGACGCACATAGAGCTAATCGCAGCCGTTGACTTCCCTGACAACATGCTTCAATCGACGACCACGGTGGATGTGCGCGATTGTAACAGTCAAAACCGGCGTGTGATTTTAACGTTTTTGTTTAAAACTGGTTGGACTGGACCAGGCCAGTATTTTTTGGTATGGTCAAGAAATAAAAATCGTCGCGGAAATTTCCAATTTACGAATCAATCATCAATCACTGAGACAAAGATCCATTTCCAGAATAAAAATAATTTATTATTATATTTATATTTATATTAGTCAAGCACTTCCCTTCAAATGGGCCAAATGTCGGACGCTTGGCATATCACTCTCTTAGAAAATTTTGGTAGCGCATATTTAAATTGGAAAACAGTACAGGCATAGTAAAAAGATAGGAGAAAGAAAGATAAAGATAAACCAATAACTCAGCACCACTTTCGCCCACGAAACACCCTCGTTTGTCCCAGTGCTTCAACCTACGAAAGCTCTCGTGCGGTTCTCTCTTCTTCGCATTTTTATCAGGTAAATTTTATAGAAGTGAGATAAAACGGGGAAGCAAGATGGGGTTTGTGGGTGTTTTATTTGAATTTTTTTTTTTGAATTGTTGCAATAATGATTGGATTTGTGTATAGAAATGGAGGTTGTGGTAGCGAACGCGTTAAAATCGAGTCTGCACAGAGAATTGACGTGTCTGAAATCAACACAGCAAGCCTTCGGCGAGGAAATTTGGTGCTTCAATTCGAATAACGGGGTTGCCGGTGAGGATTTCTCAGTGGATGACCTATTTGATTTCTCCCAGAATGAATTTCAACCCGAGTATGAAGAAGATGACGAGGAAAAAGACAGTCTTTCCTGTTCATCCTCACATGACCGGAGCGAAGAAGACACCAACTCCAATTCCTCTTCCCTTGCCGGCGATTCTGACTTCATTTTTTCCAATGAACTCGCTGTTCCGGTGAGTCATTGTTCTCGACTTTCACGCTCTGAGGCACGGCTTTTATTTAACTTCTATAAATTTTAAATTTTTCTGCTAAGTAATCCGTTTAAAATTATTACAGGACGATGATTTGGCTGACCTGGAATGGGTTTCTCATTTCGTTGACGATTCTGTCCCAGAGCTTTCTCTTCTGTACCCCGTCCGTTCCGGGGAAGCGAAGACCCGGTCTGAACCGGAACCTAGCCGGGGCTTTGCGAAAACTCCTTGTTTGCCATTTGAATTTCCCGTCAAGGCGAGAAGCACCAAGCGTAGAAGAGCCAGGATGTTCATCCCCTTGCTTTCCCGGCCATCTTCCCCGCCGTCTTCGTGTTCATCGGTCTTTTCCTCGACGTTGACCCTCATCGCCGTCGGCACGGCTCCGAGCACCGGCTTTGTACAAAGCGTTACGGAAACGCCCGTGAAGAAGCAGAAGAAAAGGGCGGAGGCTCAAGCCGGTAGTGGTAGTGGGTCCCAGATTCAGCGTCGGTGTACCCATTGCCTAGTGCAGAAGACTCCGCAATGGAGAACAGGTCCGCTAGGCCCCAAAACCCTTTGTAACGCTTGTGGGGTCCGCTACAAGTCCGGTCGGCTTTTTCCGGAGTATAGACCGGCCTGTAGCCCAACTTTCTCTAGCAATATTCACTCGAACAGTCATCGTAAAGTGTTAGAGATGAGGAAGAGGAAGGAGATGAGCGAACCGGAATGTGGGTTGACCCGAACTCAAACTGTTCCGAGTTGCTGAATCCTGGATTAGGAATCGTCATCCGGTCGAAGCGGGTCCGGTTTTGTAAGATAGAAGGTGGTTTTCAATTAGGCTTCTAGTGCTACTAGTCATTAGTCAGCTAGGCAGGTAACGGAAATTAGGAATGAATTCATGATTGTTTGAATTCTTATTAATTAAGGGTAGCTGAAGGCGTCGAATTTTCTCCATGGATACATTTTGGCCATATTTGGTAGGTTTTTTTTTTTTTAAATATTTAACATACTTTATTTCTTTATCTCTCCCCCTTTCAACTTAATAGCATTTTGAATTATTCAGCCCTATTTTGCAGTGAAGTGTTTTTGCATGCCTTATGTCGATTTAAAATATGCATCTGAAATATTAAATGGTCTGATTTTTTTTGTTTTTGCCAACAGAATAAACAATCTGAATTTATTTGTTCATATTTCTAAAAATATCAACCCAAATTAAGTCTTTGTAATCAATCCCTCTAACACGAGGATCTCGTGTGTTGAAAAAATGATAATTCTTTAGTTAGGTACACTACTATATATATATATATATATATATATATATATTGTGTTGAGAAAATATGACTCTAGATGTAGACTCTTGATGGTTAAAAATTTGAAAGAGTGACTATTAGGCCCCAAAACTTTTAATAAATAGCAATTAGGTTTTGGATAAAAAAAATTAAGAATGAGTTAAAAATATGGATTTAAATGATTATAAATTCTGGAGTTTTAATTATAAATAATATTTAAGTATTAAATGTAATTCATGAATTATAACAAGAATTTATATTTATAACTATTTAAATTAATATTTACAATTTATTTTTTTATTTTTGTCAGGGACTTAAACGGTCATTAATTTAATGTTTTGAAACCTTAATATCATTTTTCCTAAAAATTTAGGAATCTCATTTTTAGGAAAGCCAGCTTATGTTGCTTTACACCTTTATTTTTTTCTTAATTAAGATATAATTTTAACTTTAATGCAAGGAATTCAAAATAAATCACTCCCATCTTGTCTTAGGGCTCCTTTGTTATTTGAAAGAAATATAATGAAATGGATTAAGTTGATAAAGACCAAAGTGAATTAAAATAAAATTGTAAATTGATAAAAAAGCGATGACAATAAAAAATGAAAACCATAGGGTGATGGAAGGGGTGAGAATGAGGATTTACATTAACAAAGTCATAGATCTCCATTCTTACCTCTACATTACTCTATTGCTCTCGCCTCTTTATAATTCTCATATCTATCATTCCACAATTTTATTTTACTCTATTTTATTCTCAATCAACACATTCAATTCCATTAACCAAAAGAGATTTTAAAATTAAATTCCATGTATCAAACCAACAAGTCGGGATGAAAATTCACTTGTCAAATTCAAAGCCACTGGATATAACAATGAGTAAGGCGTGTGTGAAGGTAATATGGTAAATGACTCGAGCCCCTTTTTTTTGGGGGGTTGGGGGGTATAAAAGCCCAAAAATTGATTCAAAATTCAAGCCCTTTTAATGTATAGAAAAATTGGCGTTCTAAAAATCACATGGAGGGTAAAAGGAGGCTCGATGAAAGCAATATCAATAGTCAAATATTATCATTGCTCATTTCAGCATACATTGAGCAGATGTGAAAGCCACCATCACTCACTGCATTTGTGTAGCTTGTAGAGCTAAGTGGTTAATTTTGGATTTCGGAAAGACATGTGGGTTTAGATTCCATGAAGTCTCAGTAATTCCATGACCCATGACATGGAATCGATCAGAATTAAGCCAACATGGTATAATTGGGTTCATTGAAAATCTTGAATCTAATGTATTAAAGATGTCTGGATATAAGGAACTAGTTTTCAATTTCACTTATTTTTCTTGAAATTATATATCAAATAAGGTACTAGCGTATCTCCTAGCAAAATAATACATCAAAGTGACTTAAAATAAAATAAAGAATGATGTAAAGATAATATTAGCTTACGTTTTTACTATATGCAAATCAAAATTAAAATTTATTAATCACTTTATATCTCATATTGTGGGTAAATTACCTGTTCTGCAAGTACCCCTCCTCACAAATAGGGTGGAACCCATCTCTGGGTGTGCAGTGGTAGCTGGAATTTTAAAATAATTGATTATCTGATAAAGTTTAAAATAGTTTCTCATGATGGAAATTCAGAGCCGTAATTCATTATCAAATGGAGTTTTAAAAAAAGATATGTTTGGGCTTTTTTATAAAAAAAATAAAATTTCAAGAGTCGTGATTGATCATGAAGGAACATCCAAACACTCACTTAATATTTTAAGTGACTTGTGAGTTATAAAGCCAAACTAGGGTTGACTCTCGCGACTTGCTAGCAATGAGTGAGTCAGCAGAAATATGAAAATAGTCATGCTTCTAATTGATGGTGGCCTGGAAACATCCCCATGGTTGTTCTAGTTGTTGTTGATGAACATGAATCGTTTGGTGAGGGGTGAAATTAAATTAACGACTAGTGAATGACGCGTACAATGTAACGTGAATGCATGTGGGCAAGGTGGTTGTTGGTGAGACACTGGATGATTTGAGGAAGCCTATTCCATGTCAAAATGCACAGATAATATATCAACAAATGCTGGTCTCTTTATGAGGATTTCAAGTCTATAATTTACAATATTGTAAATTTAAATTTTACTGTCAATATCAAAATTTTGTCAGTAAATAATATATAAATATCTTTGTAAGTATTTTTTAAGTTTGAAGTATGCCTGAATTTTTGGTGAGTCATTGAAAATTTAAAACCCAATTCACTTAAATATTTTATACATACATACATATGTGTGTGTGTGTGTGTAAAAGGATAGACAATGCATGAGGATCACCCGTGACCTCTGCTACTAAAATTGCATGGATGGGTTATTAAAGTGAATGTTAATCATGGGATTAATTAGAATTCAAACCAACTTGAAATCTTTAAAGAGGTTCATTTTAATTGTATTAAATTCATTTCAAACTTATAATAAGTCAAGATAATCATCCGTATTTTAATGTTTAAATTTTGATAATTAATCTATCACAATCTTAATTATTTTTTAAGGTGGCTGGGAAACTTTCATAAAATCTCTCTTGGGAGGAAAATTAATTTGAGAGATCAAAACTAATTTAAGGACCAAATATATACCAAGCCTAGGACCTTATCATTGCATACCATGCCTATAACCTTACACATGAAGCATATTGCTTTCCACACCATAAAGGTATAGATTTCATGAAAATATATATGACCTATCATCTTAAAAGTGACAGTTTATAAGAAAATAATAACATAAACAACACATTATTTAGACCACGAGCATATAAATTATACGATATTTTCAAAGGCTAACATGTAACTTTGTTGTGTAAGATCATAGCTGGACTTGAAGTGTAAAGCAATGGGTTTGGAGAACAAGGTTATAGGTTTGAGGTGTAAAGTCAGTTATAGGCTTTGAATGCAAGGTCATAGATTTAGTGTGTAAGATGATAGATTTGAGTTATAATATGATAGACTTGAGGTGTAAGGTGATATGATTGTTGTATAAGGTGATAAGTTCAGTGTGTAGAGTGATAGGTCAAGTGTGCATTTGATCCTTAAATTGATTTTGATTCTTTAAAACAACTTTTCTGCCTGCAAGGGAATTTATGGCCTTTTACATAAATAGTTCTATTTACTCTTTATTGAATTTTATTCCATTAATTTTCTCAAAAAAATTGAATCAAGTTAACTGTTTGATATGCCATGTTTTTTGTTATCGAAATAAATAATTACATGTAAAAAATTAATAAGAATTTCTTATTAAATTTTAAATATTAAAGAGTTATTTGTATTATTAAAAATTTAAAATAAAATGTTATGCGACATACCGTTGCTTGCTACTCTCTCCATTTCTATTTGTAAGAGAAAAAATTATATCATACACTTAAAAAAATCAATTAACCATATTAATTACATTTAAAAATAAAAGAATTGGGCTAAAATATTTTTTATTAATTATATTAATCTATCATTTATTAATTGTTTCTTATAACTGTAAATGATAAAATTATGAGGGATAATTTAAAAAATTTATAATAAATATCTAATGAAAAATGTAATTTTGTTTATATAAAAAACATATTAAAAATGATACTTTCTCTATTCAAAAATTTAAGGCATTTTTGACTGAATCTTACATTCAATAAAGTAATTATTTACTTTTAAACTAACCTTATTTTTCATATTTACTCCTATTAAACACCCTATAATAAATATAAAAGCATTAATTAATAGAGGTATTTTAAAAAAAAGATAACGGTTACATCTTAAAAAATTAAAAATATCTTATATTTTTAAACACATAACTCTTTAAAAAATGTCTTATATTTTTAAAATAAAAAAATATTTTTTTATAAATAAAAATGGAGCGAATATTGTCAACCAGTGAGCTAAGAAAACGACATGTATAAATGATGGCGCGTTGGAGGGTTTCGAGAATTTTGAAATTTGAATTAGCGTACACGCCATGATGATCACAGCATCCCACACTATTTATAATATAACCAGATTTATATCCGTGTGAAATGTTTTAGTTTTGAAAAATAAATATAAATATTAAAACATTATCTTAGTATCTTTAAAGTAAAATATATTAATTTTGTTACTTTATCTTAGTTGCAAATAATTTTTTGTTTTTTTTAAGAATATCTTTTAAAATTTATAGTTAAGAATTATAAAATATAAATATACTTTCTACTTTTAAGTTTTTATTTTTCATCCATCCAAACATCAATTGATAGTTGAGTTACGTACCTTAGTCTAAAATATCATTCCTAATTTATTCTTTTAAACATTTAAATTTATCACTTATGCAAACTGAGTTATTTAGTATTTTTTAAAAAATTAAATACATACTCAATTAAAAAATATAAGGTATTTTTAATTAAAAATTATCCTAATAAAATAATTATTTATTTTCAAACTAATATAATCTTTCTATATTTATCCTTATTTAATAAAATATTTTATTTTAAAATAATTTATTTATTAAGGATACTTTTAAAAAAAGTAATTATTATACCATAAAACATTAAAAATGTTTTAAATTTTTGAACATACGATCTCTTAAAAATGTATTACATTTTTTAATGAAAAAAATAATTTTATTAAAAAAATATTTTAAATACATATGTGCAAAAAAAAAAAACTTAATGAAATAAGAGATAGATTAGACATAATTTACATTTTTTTATGTAAATTTTATAAATTTCATATAATATCTTTGAATTATTGTCATATTTAATTGTTTAAAACTTGTTTTTTAGCCAAAAA